ACTCACGCAGTCTCTCTCTCTCTCTCTCTCTCTCTCTCTCTCTCTCTCTCTCAGAAATAAACAAACATTTAAATAAATAAATAAAATGCTCAAGTAAAACCACAAAGGGCAGGGGTATTTGGGTGGGTCAGTTGGTTGAGCCTCCAGCTTCAGCTCAGGTCATGATCTCACGGTTCATGGGTTCGAGCCCCGTGTCTGGCTCTGTGCTGACAGCTCAGAGCCTGGAGCCTGATTTGGACTCTGCGTCTCCCTCTCTCTCTCTCTCTCTCTGCCCTTCCTCCTCTCATGGTCTGTCTCACTCTGTCTTTCAAAAATAAATAAACATTAAAAAAAATTTAAACCACAGAGGGTAGAAAAAGAGGGAAGCCTTTGACAAAATACAACACCATTCTCAGTAAACTATGAATAGAGGGGAACGGTCTCAATCTGATAAGGAATAAAGGAATATATCCAAGAAACCTGCAGATAACATCACTCTTGTGGTTAGAAACATGAAGCTTTCCCACTGAAGGTCAGCTACAAGGCAAGGATGTCCTCACCACTCCTCAACATTATATTACAAGTCCTTGCTAACGCATTAAGACAAGTCAAGCAAATAAAAGGTATACAGATTGGGAAGGAGAAATAAAGCTGTCTTTGTTCTCAGAGGACGTGATCATCTGTGTAGGAAATCCAGAAGAATTGACCAAAAAAAGAGGAAATTCCTCCTGGAATGAATAAGTGATGATAGGTCAAAGATACAAGATTAATTTACAAGTGTAAACTACTCTCCTATATGCCAGCAATGAACGTGGAATCTGGAACTAAAAACACTAAAAACTAAAAATCTGGAATCCAAAAAATGAAATATAAAATATGTACAAGATCTATACAAGGAAAATTGCCAAACTCTAATGAATGAAATCAAAGGAAAGCCGGTTACATGGAAAAATATTTCATGTTCATGGATAGGAACAGTCAATATCGCCAGGGTGGCAGTCCTTTCCAACTTCATCTGTAAACTCAATGCAATCTCAGTCAAAACCCGGCAAGTTGTTTGTGGATGTTGATAAAACGATTCTAAAGTTTACATGCAGAGGCAAGAGACTCAGAGTAGCCAACACAGTATTAGAGGAGAGAGAGTATTAGAGGGCAAAGAGGGAGGGCTGACGCTGCTGGCCTCACACTTTTGGCAAAGCCACGGTGATCCAGACAGTGCGCTACAGCCGTCAGGACAGACACACAGGTCAGTGGAACAGAACAGAGTTCAGAAACAGGCACACAAACTGAGGTGTCACAGAGGGGCAAACACAACTCAGCGGAGCAAAGACAGTCTTCTCAGCAGATGCTGTCAGGGCAGCTGGACACGCACATGTAATAAGGTGAATCCAGAGACAGACTTTATACCCTTAACAAAAATGACCCAAATGAATCACAGACCTAATCATAAAATGTAAAACTATAGAATCCCTAGAAGATAACAGATGGCCTAGGTCTCAGAGTAACTTTTTAGATGTGACACCAAATGCATGACCCACAAAAGAAATAACCGATAAGCTGGACTGTATTACAATTAAAAACTTGTTCTCTGTAAAAAACAATGTTGAGAGGATGAGAAGACAAGCTATAGAGTGGAAAGAATTTTCAAAATGCATGTCTGATAAAGAACTGATATTCAAAATAACCAAAGGACTCTTAAAAGTCAAAAACAAAAGAAAAACTATTTAAAAATAAGTCAATAGGCCCCTGGGTGGCTCAGTCAGTTAAGTTTCTGACTTTAGCTCAGGTCAGAAACTTAATGGGCTGGAGCCCCAAGGTGGGCTCTGTGCTGACAGCTCAGAGCCTGGAGCCTGTTTAGGATTCTGTGTCTCCTTTCTTTTGCCCCTCTCCCCACCCACACTCTGTCTCTCTCTCTCTCTCAAAAGTAAATATTCAAAAAAATAGGTCAAAGACCTTAAAGGCACCTCACTAAAGAGACTTACAGATGGAAAATTAGCATATGAAAAGATGTTCCACATAGTATGTCACTGTGTAAATGCAAAATAAGACAGCGATGAGATACTACTATATACCAATTAGCATGACCCAAATCCAGAACACTGACCCCACCAGATGCTGGCGTGGTTGTGGGGCGACAGGAACGCTCATTCATCCCTGGTGGGAATGCAAAATGGTGCAGCCACTTAGAAAACAGTTTG